CCCTTGACGGGCGTGACCGAGAGAGTAAGTTACATCATGGCCAGCGGCTGTTTTCTGAATGATGGGACGATACACCATTGTAAGTACACTTGACCGACTTCATAAGTCGCGAGGGAAGGGATTGCTGTATCCTTCTCGCGATAAAGATATCTCAGGCAAGAACCGCAGGAGGGGGTCCAACCTCCCCCTCCTATGTGACCCCGGTTGGGTCGTCTAGCTGGTAGAAGTGGAGGATAGGGGCCAGAGGGGCAGACGACAGAGTTCAATCATGGGAGAAAAACAAAACAAAACAAACAAACACTATGACCAACACTCAACAACCCATGTTACTCCAACTTATGACACCAGCAGTCGCTCCCTTTATTCCTGACGTTAGAGGGCATCGTCGGACTCTACATATGTACGGGATAAACGGGATATTAATGGGGGTTTGTGTGCACATTTTGAAGTCGTTTTCGAGACGTGCGAAACCATTCTTTGGGGAGTGGGTATTGACGTTACCTCCCCGAACTTTGTGAGAATGTGCTCGAAGCATGAGGAATGTTTTCTGACAAGGAATGCATAACCCCGGTGAGCAATGCGTCTCGCAACGCTCTCAGAGCTGTACAAAGCAGAAGAACGCCCTGCTTGTTCACACCTTTGAAACTGTTGCGTGCTCCTTCGCTGCCTTCTCGAAGACCCCCCTTTCTCAAAGAAGAAAACACATCACTCTCCCTTCCGTTTAGTCACAGAAGCCGCTGAGTGTGCTGGTGTCAGCAACTTCGATTTCACCGATGAATGGACAACCGATCTTCGTCACTTCATGGCGGTACCGAATACAACAATCTTAATGCAGGAGCTTCGTGATAACGCGGGAGGCGGGGTGACCACAGACGGTCGGGTGTTCGTCGGGACGAAGGCAGAGCTGAACCGCCTGGAGGCTCTCCGAAGGATAATGGCAGAGCGGGCTTACCGAATGCTCTGCAACGGTCAGTCGATTTATCTTGACAGCCCTATTGCATTCTCGGCAGAGAGCTGTTGGGTGCCCGTTGTGACAACTTCCAACAGCATTCTCCCGACATTTTTTTTTTTCATTTCGCTTGAGAATCTGCAAACGACAATGATCACATTGGATTTGGGATATAGGCCGAAGGGCATCTCTCAAGAATATGTTCAATGCACCTTGGAGAGATCCGCCGAAAGATTACAGCCATCGACGCGCAGTCGCGAAAACTCGGTTCTTCCAGCCCTTGCAGTGCTCCTGAGATACATTGGCTCTGAATGCATAATGATACTGCACCTTTGAGTTAGCAACCTCCCGTCAACCACAGACGACGGTTGCCTTTCATGACAACACCGAAACATACAGAATGGGAAAACTAAACGTACCATTCGTCATTGGCAGCTGCTATCTAAATCAGTCAGACCGTGTGCGCTTGACAAATAGGGGTGCATCACGTGAAAGCTCGCTCGTTCAAGCGCTGGCTGACTCATACCGAGTGGGAGCGGCGGGCAAACGAGACGTACGTATTCAGCGTCGCCAAGGACGTCAGCCTTGCAGGAGATGAGGTAAGAAGAAGAGGAACTCAGGTAGGTAAAGGGTAGACTAATGTTGAAGAACGGTCATGAAACGTGCTACGAACTCCGTCTCTCTTGTAGGATTAAGAAGAACAACACCGCAGGCAATCCCGTTAACTTGTGGAGCCGGGTCGATGGTCTAGAGGGTAAGTCAAGAAAGTTGGACAAACTCTCGAGCCTAGACCCACTCGGCTATTGCGTAGCTTGATTGATCCCCGAACGCCTTACACAGCTTTTGTTTCGTCTTGATCATTGTTTTTCCATCTCAAGCAGCCTGTAGAAGCAAAATCGTACAAGACCGAGTGGCGGCACCCGTCTCATGGCATCGCCATACCTCCTCTACCACGGGTGCCCTCTGGGAGACTCAGTGCTAGGAACGACAAAAACAATCAGGTGGGTTTATCACCGCCTGTGAGGTACGAGGACACCTACTTTGCTTGTCGAAGGATTCAAGTGTGGATCAACCGTAAGGTTTTCTGGCAGGCGTGTCGCTGATACGGACGACGAATGAAGCTAGGCAGAAGAACCATAAGACCTCCGGGTGTCTGCAATCGTTTTGACCATGACCGCGCCATGTTCCACGGTGACAGCTGGATTCGATGGCGGCAGCCTCTGTAGCTAGGTCGATGGCCGGGCCTGCGCCATTCTGCAGCTGGCTCGTGCCTGGCTTGGTGCTGATGAGTTCGTACATCGATTCCGAGGTAACGTCAGAACTTCAAGATAGGCTTGGGGTGGATTCACCACAACGTTACAAGTTCCCAAACCCCTACTGCCTGGGATTCATCACAGAGGTAGTACGGTCTGGAAGAGGGTGAATGTCGAAACATCGACGTGCATTGATTTGTGTGTGTTCGTATCATTGGTACATAGTTCATGATCCAGCTACGACTGCAGCCAGGGACGGCAAGCCGGCGGAACCGCTCACCCCCTGTCTTCCTTGTTCATTATGGGGACATGCCCTCGTTTGCGGACTGACACGCAATGTGACGTGTTTGACATTATTCCCTGATACTGCACAACTACAGTAGCCGCCATGCACAATGGAACACACGACGCAAGAGTCAACGCAAACCGTTGTTTACGTTGCTAATACCTTTCACCACTTACTGCCCTGCGAAAGTGGTTCCGTGTTCTGCCCTGTGTACCCCCGTGCTGGCCTTCAGCACTGAGCCACAAGACATGTGGTGTTCGTGGTGACATGTCATGCATCGATGTAACCAACAGATGGGTGAGAATCCCGCCTGATCGTTCTGAAAGGGCCTCTCTGATGTACCAATTCGCTGCGAAGTAAGGTTTCAACGGTAGAGGTGCCCACATGTTCTGATGAAGCAGGCCAAAGCTCGACCGCAGCAGTTCAAGCAGCCGTTCTACCCGGATGCCGCTTCCCAGATCATGCTGGCGGGGGTAGGCACGTTGGTCTGTCTATCTTCGGAGGCCACTGTCCGTCAGCACGAGTTAGAGCACGAATTGGCAATGTTCGACAACGCGTTTGGAGTTAGGTACGTTGGTGGTCGTGAATGCCTTGATTCCAAGAAAAAATCCTTAGAAAACGTGGCGAAAGCAGTACAACCAATCCCCCCCCCCAAGTACAACTTCCACGGGCGCAGGCAGTATACATCGCTCAAATCAAATAATCTGACCACGTGTCGCTGACGAGGACAAGGGCGTGCGATGCAGGCATGGTTTGTGTGGGCATTTCCGACTCCTAAAAGTCTGGGAGCAAAAGCATGTGGAGGCCCCACCACCCCGATTCTGAAGCCATTCGTAAAACGCGTCAAGTATACCACTTCGAACTTGATGCGTCGTAAAGTTGCTGAAATCCGACCAGGAGTTTTAGGGTAACTCACGCAATGTCATTCCGCCGGCTTTATGCATGGAGAGACACCGATGTCTATGACGGTACAATTACAGATGCCTGTGTTGAGTCGACCACAATAACGTCATGCTGGGGTGGGGCACACCGCTTTCTTTCGTGCGGGATTCGATTGAGGAAATAGAGATGTGGAAACAACCCTCCGCAGGACTCACAGAGTTGTTGATGTTTGATCGATTTACCTACAGTCGCATCCATATCTTGCGCGATGTCTTCATGTCACGTCGAGGCAGCCACAAGACAATCTCTGCCTTGATCAAGGTTAACGTCGGGGGGGCGAAGAATGACATCGTAATGCTCCGCCGGGAGGAGAAAAACTTAGAGCAGCTCCGATTCGTCCAAGGTGAGTTCCGCGGAAAAATATCCGTGCGAAAAAAAGGCATTGTCATTCACGACACACCAGATGAGGTTTGCAAGCTGCTGCACCATAACAAGTATCGTAGGGAGGACTATTGTGGTGTTACCGGAGGCTGGTTTCTAGGCTGGAAACATTTTTCCAACTGACTCTTTGTTGTCCAGGACATATTTTTCAACTTCAGAGTAAGTACGCGATACGCATGGTTGAGCCCCAAGATTCCTCCATCCACTCGAAAAAATATGAAAAAAGTCTCACGGGCGCCCCGTTCGTATTAAATTTGCCGCTTTCGTCGTTCCTCGTCGGATGTGTAAAGGATACGACCAAGACGAACGTCGAAAGGCACTTGCTGACATTGTCACCCGGATGCGCAGTGCAAGGTGTGCCTCATTCTTGCCGCCTGCGTTTATGGAACTCTTTTCGTCGAGAAGGCACGGTGTACCTTCGCGGTTTTGAAGTAGGAAGCAGATGCGACAAATCCGTTGTGAAATGGATGTCCAGAGGTCGGACTGGTGGCTGACTCGGATGTATGTGTGGACTCGTGGCACCCCCCGTGCTTCTTGCGGATACGACTACCTTCTCTGACAGGAGTGATTGGGCGCACGAAGGTAGAGATGTAACAGCAGACTGAGCATTAGATGTTTTTTTGGACCGTTCTTTCTCATTTTTTTCGGATCCAATATTCAGTCAAGAAATATTTCTGTGCAGTCAGCGGGTGACTAAAATAATCAGTTCGAACGGCAATATCTTGTTTCTTCAACTCTATGGTCAGATATATCGTTTGACGAGAGTATCGTAACGATAGGGCATCTTCAAAACATAGGCGTATTTTTGAAGTGCCAATGATGAACAGAACCGTTTCATTGACCAATCACTTCTTTCTCCGAGTTGGAATCTGATCTACACAAGTTCACATGACACGACACGTCCACTTCATCTTCTGTACGGCGATACCTATCTCGTATGTGGAGCTTGATTGTGGCCAGCTCAAATTCGAGGGGTTGAGTTGAACGTGATTCGGTTCTATCATCGAGCCACAAACAAACGTCGAACGTTTGTGAGTCTGTGGAGATCCATTCGTTTTGGTCCTCGACTTGTTGTGTACATTTCCGCCCTCAAGAGTCTACGTCCGTGTCCTCGATTATACTCCGGTTAACACACTTTTGTGTCGCATGTCGAAAACATCAAAGGAGTGCCTATACAGTCGCCAAACGAATGGCCGACATTTTCCCTGCCGACCTGCATGTGGCGTGGGAGCCTCTCCCAGAAGACGAAGCACCTTCGGTAGAAGCAGTCGTCGAGCTGGCCGTCAGGCTGGAGGACCGACTACGCAAGGGAGAAAAGGTGAAAAAAATGGAAAAGGGGGTTCAAGAAAGGATCTTCAGATGGTAAATCCTTCAAGAGGGGGAATAACATGAGGAGAGAAAACACGCGGGAAAGGAGTATCCGAGTTGTCGAGACCATGACAGGGTAGGGAAAATTTCAATTGTTGGCTTTTTCGACTCATCACGGATGCATCGTTCGGAGTTGGAAGGCAATATCTGGATAGATCTGTTACTGCGGAATGTTCAATAACATGCCCCCGTTCTCCGTTCTCCCCGGTCCCCTTGCTTCTTCCCTCCACCCACCTGGAAGTTGTGCTTGTGGTCGCCTCGAGGCCATGGCAGAGTTGGACTGGTCGGTGCGGTGCTTCTGGGCAGACTCTACGGTTTCACGGCCGAAGATGCTCTCCTCAGAGTACAGGTTGGCGAGAGTTTATTGGTTCCTCCCCTAGATTTGATTCGGGTTTGGAATGAAAGCAATGGTGTGTGTTCTCGTGCGCGAAGTGCTACATTCAAGTCTTCGCACATAGCTATTGGAGCCCAGCTTTGGGTTATGCAGTTAGCTGTGGACCGATTCGAGGTTGTTATCGCGGTCGTCACCCTTGTCTAAGACGTTGGTCACTTTCCTGTTTCACAATGTGCTGCGATTGGTGTCACTTGTGTAGTAGAGTGTGTTGTGTTTCAGACCGTTACCGCTAAGATATTGTCCGTTCTTGTTCCTAGCCGTCCCGGTTATTCCGCCCTAACATGTAGTACTGCGATTGTCAAAGAGAACTCGAAGACCAAGTGTCAAGCCCTCCTTGTCGTTGACAATTCCTCTCCATCTCTTTCTCTCTCTCCATCTCTTGCTCCCCGTCTCCGTCTCCCTCTCACCAAACCAAAAATATACCAATCGTCAATCCCCTTTGACCTCTCAATCGTTGCAATCATAGGTGTGCCACGATGCCCGGGACAGTCTCAAGGGACAACCACAGATAAGCTGTCCCCAGACGATTGCGCAGGTAGGTACATAGACTACATCCTCATTCGTCGCATCGCGTTCTTTACGATCAATAGTACATGCGTACGTACTTGCACTCGTCCGAGAGGCGTTTCCGAGCAGGTTCTACCTACATCCTCTTGGTTTGAAGTTTGAAGTGATTTCCTTTCCACACACAATGTCAAGACTGTCCAGAGATCCATTGAACGCAGGCCTACATTGCCCTCCGAAAAGCATTCCGAATGACAATGTGTACATTGTGTGTTTATGCCCGCGGGGCTACAATTACTCCGGGGGCTGATAGCAACGCACACACTGCCGTTTTCCATGTCCCGCAGGTTCAGTGCGTGCGTGAGGTGCTGCTGCAGCAGTCGAGCATTTACACCGATCTCGTCATGCGCGCTGACCTACCGGCTAGCAAGCGAGGAGTCCAGGTAGGCCCATATTTCCCAGTTACCCTAAGTTCTTGACAACCGACGATATTCATCGGGAGTACATTAGTCGTTTGAGGAACACAATCAAACCATTCGGGTGGTGGGGGTGAACACCTTTGTCGCTCTTCGTACGAGTAATCTGAGCGGGTCGTCGTTCAGGTCGAACACCAAACATGAGAAATTTGCTCCTGAATAGGTGTTCATCCTACATGTACCGCGCCCCCCTTTTCTGCCGTTGCACGGTGGTTCGAGAAATCATCCGATTATCCATCATTATCCTCCCGTCTTGTTTTCCGTTCCTTCTCCAATGATGCATCCTCCCCGTTTCTAGCCCCCACCAATGGTTTTACCTCTCGTGCAACACCATTTCAGTCTCTATGTTGAGTTCTCTCCCCCCTTTGGACCAATTGGGCCGACGCATCGTAGAATCTTCGATCTGCCCGGCAGGGATATGAATCTAGAGATGATCTTAATCTCTCTCTTAGCGGCGAAAACGTGTTTCCCATACAAAAGCAGAGTTGGCACCGTGGAACAAGTTTTCTTCGCTGGGGGGGAGGGGGGGGTCGCCCCTTGTTCTTTCGTTCTTTGGGAGCAACGAGTAGCGCAAGCTTTCTCGAATGAATGCCCGTTGCGGAGAATGATGGTTTTCTCGTAGATGCTCGAGAGTCTAGATTGATGTAGGTACATGTCGGGATTGTGTGTGGTTCCGGGATGGGAAGAAACGCGTTCCAACCCCAATGTGTTCTTACCCCACACGAGCCTAGCTCCGAGCAGATCACCGTATGTTGAGCCATCTCTGCTGGATGCATTGAAATTGCAAAGGTCAATGCGGAGCACCCAAAGAATCCCCATGAAGCCCTTGAATGAATGCATGCAGGTCTGCATTTCCATTCGCGGGGAAGGACCTCCGTCTCTGCGCCCGTCCGAACGCGTGGCCGACGAGACGCAGGCCGACCGTTACAAGCGCGAAAGGGAACACAGGCTCCAGATCGACACGATTCAGGACGACCACCAACCGGATCTGCTGAAAGCATCGCTCCTGCCCCCACCAGCTTCCGAGGACCATCTCAACACCTTGCCGTCCACCCAAGTACCGCACGACAACAGCTTCGATGCTAATGGCACCCGTAAATGTGCACCGGGTGGTCCTAAGCTTGGCGTTCTCACGAAGGCGACAACAAGAAGAAATAGTAGTGGAAGAACGGACCTTCCGGGTGGTCGTGGCGTCCTTCTTCCCAGGAAGCTGGTAACACTAGGCTCGTATTCGGGTAATTTTTCAGACTTATCAGGGGAGGGCAGCAACGGGTTGACGATGTTGTCGCCGACGCTGTTGGGGAAGGATTCATCCCTCCGACAGCCTCTTGCTCAAGACCGTGCTAGGGTCGTCGGTTTAGTGCCGTATCCCACCATGCGATCCCTAAGAAAATCGTGACGAGAATATTTGGTACCACAAAAATAGAACAGCAAGGACGCTTCTTTGACAGGCAACAAAATTGTACAGTCAGAGTTAAACCAGTACTACCCATGCAGAGATAGTTTATACGCTGTCAATATGACATTGTCTATGATACCAAGCTACCAATGAGACTGAAAACGCGTCGGGCGCTAATAGAAAGCTTGATGTACCACCGGGCGTTTACGAGTGTGTTCAAACGAGAGTCCGGGATGTTGTAACTGCACACCGAAAATGTTCTTGCCAACCTTACGAACGGGGCTCGCGAAAAGGGTTGGAGCAACAGAAACACCGCACACTCCCCCCGTCCTCCTATCCAAAATTCAAGAGATCATACGATATCACGCACTACCGAGCCAAATATGTAAATGTATTGCTATTCAGTCAAGCGTGACCTCCCGAAATTTGTAACGGGCGCAACAACGGGAGGTATACGTCAATCGTCAGATCGACACGTTCAGAATACAATTCAAAGTACATCCTAAAAAGCCAACATAGTGTCATCCATGAATTGTTGCGACGTGCTGACTGCTTTTCCGTTCAAAGCAAGCCAGGGCGTACACTACTACCCAGGGCATCAAGGACTATGATAACACCCCAAATAGTGCCCTAAGCAACAAGTCTCCCCCTCACCCAAATACCTCTATTGTTGTCTCCAGCCGAAAGCTCGGCCACCTTTTGTTGGTATGGCATCGTTATGGCGTTGACTCTGGCCGGTGCAAGGTACAATGGCAATGCGTTGCACATATGCTACTGTAAGCCCGTCAAATGCGGCCTCCCGACGAGGACGGCCTAGACCCGATGCCGCCCCCGGCAGCGGTCCGGATTCTGCTCGGAGGCGGCATCATCCTCGGGTACCGCGACAACACTCCGGCCATGTGCTCCCCGTTGGCACCCAGCGGCTCCAGCCGCCCGGGAGGCTGATCCATCCCGTGTTGCTGCCGGTGCTGCTGTTTCTGGCGGCGTCTCGCCCCGGCGTCCTTGCCGCCGTTCCCGTAAGTGCTCTCCATGTCGGAAGCTCCTCCCGGAATCATCATGCTAGAACTCCCGCCGCCCCACCCAGCAACGTCTCCCACGTCCTCCACTGCCGGCGACGTTGTCGCCGGACTGCCCGGCCGGGCGTTCTTTTCAGCCCCCGGTTCTTCTGCGGCGGTTAGCTTCAGCCGCTGCTGGCTTTTCGGTTTTTGAGGGCTTCGCGGGGTCCCGGCCCCCGCAATCGACAGCCCGGAAGCGCCGAGCTTCGGCGGCCCCGGGGGGCCCAGGGCGGGAAGAGGGCGATCGCAGGAGAGGCAGCGGAACTTGGAGTTGAGGCGAGAGGCGACGACGGCGCTGCTGTCACCGTTGTTGTGGGGCCCTTCGTGTCCGCCCGGCGGCGGTTCGCCGGTGCCGCCGCCGTTCGATACCATGGAGACCAGCCTGAGAAAACAAGGGCGGTTTTGAATATGCCGACGCCGACTCAAACCGTGCACATGAATGATAACTGCGCCAATAATTGGATACTCGTGCCTACCGGTCGTATTGAACAGCAACTCTATTCGTGGATATAAGGCTGTCGACGGAATTTATTATCCAGAGAGTGCGGTACACGTCGCCGGTGATTACGAACGCGTAGAAAATGATCTCCGATCAGGCCCAGGAAACACTCACTTGGCCAGGTCTTTCCTCTCGATCTTGTTGGCTAGCTCCTCTTGCATCGCGGGGATGACAATGCCGACCTTTCGTAGCTTGTTGCCCACGGAGGATAGCGCCTTCATCACCTCTTCGTTGTCAGCTTTCGTTGCCATCTTCCGTACCGTGGGATTCCATACCGCATGGTATCGTGGTCGTGGATGTAGCACGAAGTCGAAGAAGTCGAATCGGGACGTAGCATCACCAAGCCATGAGGGCAGCAGCGATAGCGGCGGTGTGAACATACAGCAAACGGTCATAGCGGAAAAGTGAAACATGACAAGAACGCGTTCGTGAAGGCGCTGTTTCCTGGACCCTCGTGCGCCTCCACAGCGAGATACTTGGGCAGCCGCAGGCCACACCGTTCAACTTAATTTATTGTTCGAACCTGAATTCCTTCTTCGTTATATTCGATACACAAGTCTTCGAGAAGAAACGCCCACACTCTCCCCCCTCCACATCCTACCTGTTGCTCCAGGCGTGAAGTTTTCTTCATCAGGTCCTTGATCAGTGACGCCCCCTCGTTAACGCTGGCCCTCCGCCCACCCACAGCCCCCTGCGACCCTCCGCCGCCGCCGCCGCCACCACCAAGCGCCGTCGAGAGGGCCGAGGATGGCAACGACCCGCTTATCACGCGGCTGTTCGCTTGAGACGGCGATGCCTCGAGGTCGCCCTCCGCCTGCCCCGCGGTCTCCGGGTTGTGGTTCTCCTTATCGTAGTCGGTCGACGGCGTGGACCGTGGGCGGGACGGGTCCCCGCCCTGTCCCTCCCTAACCCCCGCTCCCGTCCTCGGCGACAGCGCCCCGACCGCGGCCATCGTGCGAGCGTTCAGCGCGTCCCACAGCCTTTGCAGCTCTCGCTGGACCCACGAAACGTCCGCCTTGCACCCGAGGCGCTCCTCTAGGTCTTCGCCGTTGTCGCTGTCCATGTCCAAGCTGCCGTACCGGTGGTGACCTTCGTCGAGGAGGGAGTCCTTTATGTCGGAGACGGAGGTGTTCAGTTCGGACACCCGGCCGCGAAGGTCGTTCCACCGCTCCTCCATCAGTTTGCGAGCCTGCTTCTCCTCGAGGTTGGCTCGGACGCTTGCCGTAAGCCCCAGGAGGGTGACCCGCAGACTCCCCACGCTGCTCCGTTCGCCGATGACGGGGAGGAGAGCATCGCGCGCGGCGGTTAGCCTCTGGACTAGGTCCTTCCGACCGTTGGAGCACACGATGTCGTCGAGCTTGAGCCCCATCCCGCCATTGCCCTCCAGGGAACCCTGCCGTTCGATCTCAAATGTTGCGGATAGCTCTGCCTTTTTCTTGTTGCTGCTGATGTTTTTCTCATGGGCGGAAAGCAGGTCTTGTATGCGGCCGCAGAGAGCCTCCGCACGACAGACGGCAGCATCGACGTTATGGTCGCTACCGGCGCCGCCGCCGTCCGGCCCGATTTCATCCCCTTCTGCCTGACCACTGGCGTTCGCGACGTCGTTGCATAGACGCGAGCACTCTACTGCATCGATAGACACATGCCGTAGTTCTTGCAACGCGTGATCGATGTTGCTGTCGCTGGACCTAGCAGACTGAACTTGGCCCAGTTCGTGGTTAGCCTCAGCGTTGCCTGCCGCTGTCGCTGTTGCGTCACCCGCGTTACCGCCGTTATTGTCGAGGATCTTGTCGAGGTCTTCAGCGAGGAACTCAGTTGCGGTACTCGCCGTTTTAAGGAGGCGGGCCATCCGATCTTCGCCGGTCTCCTCAGGCTCCGTTTCGATGGGAACAGCGCCTCCAGCGGCCGGCGTGCCACTCTCGAGCTGCACCCTGAGTTCGCTCAATCGTCGCTGGTGCGCCTGTTCTCCGAACGGTACGGGGACGGGGGCGGCACGGAGTGACTTCAGAATGGCCAATGAGGGCTTTCGTGATGCTTTGGACGATTCCTAGTGTCATATCGGGACTGTCAGTTATTTCGCTCTCGGAGGCTGCCGGTGCTTCGGAGGAGATGGGTTACTTCGTTGCATGTGGCAAGAGAGCCCACGTTGCTGTTTCGTCACGAGTACGTCGCAGAAGTTTGGTGTAAGGAAATGTGAAATCGCTTAAGGCATCCAAGTCCATGAACAGCCGCGAGCATCATCAAGAGAGTGTTTCTGATAGCGGTTCGATCGCGCTCTTTGAATGCCCTTCTCACCTTCTTGAGGTTCTCGAGGCTGCTCAATCGGTCCTCGTCCACCCTCAGCCTCCTTTCTACCTCCGAGATGCTTTCACCTACCGCATGCATCTGTTCGAAACAACGACCGACGCGATCGGGCGAGGAAGAAAGGCACGAAGGAGCAACGGGTCGGCACGAGCCAAACCTGTTCGGACGTGGCACATCTGCTAAGTTGTAAATCAGCGCCACTTTCTTGAAAGAGCCGAGTGTTCGACAGTTCTGTGCATGCGCGGTACATCAACATGTGCCCGAATATTCTCACCTCCTCCTGCACCTCTCCTATTCTCTCCTCGGCACGCCGAAGAGCCTCTTCGCTTCTGGCGTAGCGGTCGTCCATGTCTTCCAGCTTGGTCCCGTTGCGTCTGATCTCGCTCTCAAGGCTTGTCTCTAGCTCGCGGTGTTCGCTGGCAATTCTTGTCTCCAACTCCGTCATGTCCGACTTGAACTTCTCTTCCATCAGTTTCTGCAAATACATTTGCACAGGTGAGCGTCTTTCCGTTGGGTCGGAGTGAATTTGGCTTGAAAAGGCTTGGTGGGAGGTCCGTAAAAGGGTGCACTTGATTCAGCAGCAAGACCTTGCTACCTTCAACTAGCTACGCTACACTCAAGTGACTCTCACTCGAGCTTCAAGAGCGCAGTCTCACCCACAACTGTCATTCGAAGACTCCCCGGTAGGGTTAAGTGACTCGTTTGTTTTGTTGCGATTTCTTCGTGTAGCTAGACGGTACCACCCACGGCGCGATCCCCTTACTCGGCGTCCTCAACCACCGTGCCCTCACACACCACCCCGATCGGTGTTAATGAAGGACCACGGTGGGACTCCCCAACTCCCGGCGTATCGCTGCAAGCAACTGTAAACGAAAGTTGCGACCCAACGCACGCGGGCTGAAGTCCTTCGATTCAGCTACCGTTCATGTTGACCGTCCGTTGTTGACCGAAGGGGGTCGGTTAGACCACGTTGGCGGGGTTTTTGGCAGCGACAACAGGTCTCAATCCAGAGGCCTTTATGTCTTCACGTATTATCCCTGGCCATTCTATGAGGCACTTCGACATCGGCACCTCTGGGCAACATTTCGTTTCCAAACGCACACATCGGCTGCCTGAAAGACCCATTTATCTGTCTCGAGACACAAACCTTGGTGGCGTGTACAATCCCGTTGATTTTCTCCTCCATGCCCAGTAATTTGCACAGCTCCTTGACCATTTCGTTGAGATTCTTGATCTGGGCAGTGTGAGATCCAGACTTGTCTCTAAGTTGATTCACCACCAGCAGTTGCTCTGTCGTCTCATCCAGCCGTTTTTCCACGACAGAAACTCGGGAACCCATTCGCACGGCTCTGATACGAAGGACAGCCATGCGCAACAATGGGATTGGAAGGGCATGACGAGGTATATCATTCCAGGATAACAGCTACAAAACTCAATAAACCTTTCAGTGAGGACAATCGTTCTGTGTACCACACGACAGGTAGCTGCGAAGTTGAGAGAAGGTTGACATTGCTTCAACCATGCTACCTCTGTTGTTGTGTGCATTCTGCACGAAGGCGAACACTTGGTACCGCTAGAACTGCATACAGGCACTACTGAAGCAGTGCCCTCGGCTATTGGCGGCCCGCGTTCATCAACTCCGCATCGATCTGATGAACTGGAGTAAACAAGTACTACTGTAGCAACATTGTTCCCATCGCGACCAACTGTCAGACTTAATCGACAACAAGGGTTCGGTACGGACATATTTCCCCTCATCAGGCACCGACACGCTGTTGCGTACCGGTCGGTGGCTCTTTGAGACATGATCTCGAATTGCTTCCTCTTTCTGCGCCGAACCAGCTGGCAAATCCGCCCAAAGGCCCAAATCCAGCGCTGCCTAGCGACGAGCCTTGCAGGACAGAGTGTCACAAGCCAAACAGCAAAGCATCATGTTCACGTGAGAATAGGGCATTATCAACCTCAAAAACACCGGAGGATGGCAGAGAAGGGAGGGAGCTACGTCTACTGAGAATCGTGCCGCATGTGTTGGCTCGCTGAGTAGTGCATTGTAGCCAAGAATGTCTTGCCACATGTATCGTAGCAGGGCCGCTCCCCCATGCAGTGCATAAAATGTTTTCGTTGATCGTAGAACCCTCCGCCCCCAACGTGTGAATCCCGTTGAGAAAAGAGACCGACCATGGTGCTCGAAAGGCAAGCATGTGATGTCTTGCGTCTTGCACGGGCACCGAATGACTTGAAAAAACCAAGAACCAACGTGCTCGAGGAGATTTTTCTGTGGTTCATCGCCATCACAACCTCCGCCCCGGGGTTTCCGGTCTGAAGAAAACGTTCCCGCCGAAGCAAACACCTAACATGTTTATCGCAGGATCTCTCGGTGGCATTACAGACGTACCTCGAGTCCAAGACCCCAGAATCTATCGATGCTTGTGGACTGAAGGCAGTCTTGACGAAATCGTTCCCCTCGCCCGGACCCTCCGCTTCTTCTCCGAGGACGCTTTCCCCATCGACAGAGCTTGTCTGCTTGGAGACGACCATGCCGTCATTCTTCCCATCGACGGAGCTCGCCTGCTTGGAGACGACCATGACGTCATTCCTGCCTTCCTCGGCCCTAGCGCTGTTCAGCTTGCTGTTGGAACCATCACTCTGGTCGTCCTGGTTGCTCCTTCTCCTCGGTGGATGAAGGTCGTTCGTATCCTCGCCTCCCGAAACCAGCCCTGTTGGGAGATCTCTATCCTCTTCGCGTGGACTGCCCGCGTTCGTCGGTGACCATATCGACGACAGATATTTTGCTTCACTGGGATTTTGGTGCTCGACTGTTTTCTCCAGCGTTTCTGACGCCGACGGTCTGGTGGCGACAACCGTGGTTTTCAAGGTAGCTTGAGCGCTAGAACTATTCCCTGGGGTGTTGAGTATTGCCGCTCGCTCTACCTCTCCTCGCCTTCCTCCTTCGTTCTTAAGACTCACGTCTTTCGCGCGTTCAACAACGCCCTCAAAGCTTGTCACAACATCTTCGCTTTCATCTCCACCTCGGCCTACCTTGGCCAGTTCCTCATCAAGAGAGATTTTGTCGTTGCGGAAATCGAACGGGGGATCCTCGCCACACGATGCCATCTGCATGCCGAACGAACCGCGCCGGCGGAGGGAGGGCACCGTTCCTAGCTCGGTCGGAGAGCCGGCGCCTCCCCCTCCCCCGCCGGCTAAGCTGCTCCACGCACTCATCGTGTCTTCGTCGGCTTCTCCGCTAATGTGGTGGACTATGTTCGCCAATCGTGCCTCCACCTTGGATTGTGATGTGGTCGATGAAGGACGGGTACGGCACAAGCGATACCGTAGAAATCACGAAATTAAGGCAACCATAAAGGGATATTGTCGAGAGAGAGGTTAAGACGGTCACAGCAGTGTTTCTCCACGGTTCAAAGTGAACAACAAGCTCTGTCTCTCTCTCTCGGTACGTACTCCATCGATGGCAGTGCTCTAAGGGTTCAGTCACATTTCGCAGTAATTGTTTTGTCCAAACACTATTGTCGTTCGAAATAGAAAAATGTCGTGGTCTACATAGGGTGGTAGCAAGCCGCCGGGAGCGTGAGACCTGCACGTGTGCGTTTTTATCTCTGCCATGTGATGCAAAAACAGAGTCACCCTCGCCGCACAGAGGGGGTTCAAACGCTTGCAAATGCGGGAAAAAAATACAGATGTGGCGGAATACGCACTCGTGCGTGCATGTACATGTACAGTAGTGATGCTCCATCCTTGCCTCTGCCAGTTTGTAATCACCTGTCTGTCCTTAGATACTTTGGACTAGCCTTACCATTTGCGAATGAGTACTTACTTGTGAAGAGTTTGTGTCCACCTTTTTCTCCAAGCGGTCCAAGCCACCGCACAAGGTCTCGAGAACATGGTGGATTGAACTCGCGTTCGAGGAGAGCTTCTCGAGGTGTTCCTGCGTTTCACGTCGGGCAATATCAGTTGGCGCCGAGTTGAAGAACAGATAGCGCCCCGATGACACCACTACAGGAACGAACGTTCCTTTTTTTCGTTCCTTCGAGGAGATAAGGGAGACGATTTTTCAGGAATGCAAGACATGAATCCACTACTATTGTTGTATGTAACGACGTTGTAAACGACAAGAGCACAAGTAGCATATGCAATCTGCAACCTCATTGTTGGCCTCTCGGCCTGTCCCCGAGTGTTCGACAACACATATCACCCTCTGTCACGTTGAATAACACTCTCCTGAGCATACTCGCCCGTGTTCCTTACGTCCATGCCTATCTCACCAATCCTCCTTTGTGACCCTATGCAGTATATGTCGGCTGGACGTTCCACGACAAGCGCAGAAGGTCACTTCCAGTGACTTCGACGTAGTTGATTACAGTGGACGCCGGAGTCTTCCGGTGTGCGGACGGTGTCGTAACTTCATGATCCCCGCCGCCGCGCGCATACACCACGCACGCAGCAAGACGCCGCAACATCTGAGATCATGACAGCTAGGACTCGCCTAGATACGGTTGCACCATACCTGCAAGTTGCCCATGAACCCTCCCGGCTTGCTTGGTTTTGGGAACCCTGGGATTTCAAGGCCGTCCTCCAGCGACTCCGGCCCATCGTCTGTGGCAAAGCGAGATACCGAGAAGCTCATATCCGACAGCAGAGTGACAGCAGTAGTATCACCTTGGCATCACTGCCAAGTTATTGATTGACAGGTTTGGAAGGATGCTCTGTCGGGCACCTCCCACCGGGTCTGGCGTGCAAGGTGCAGGGTGGCAAAACAATTCAACACGGCACAGCGTCGATCCACCCGCAGAAGATCAGAAATATCCCTTGTCGCACGCGCATTCAGATGCGGCGGTGCCAATCGCGCATGTTTTCCCTCGTCTGACGGTTTCATATTTCCTCACTTGAATTTAGTCTAGACAGACAGTACAGCAGTACAGCAGTAGTCAAACACCACGAATCACATCAATCGCATGAAGGAGTTTTTCATGTTTTCTCTGTCTTCCTTCTGCGGCGTCCTTGCCTTGAACAAATTCCGAGAAGATCTCAGTCGCTCCCTTCTCTCGTCGACCGTGAAGCTGGACACACAAGCGAATTTGTGTGTGCTGGGTCTCTTACGGCTGTCTATGGAAATAACGCCGTAGCCTTCAACTCCCCTAATGTATAATTCAAGAGTTACATACGAACAGGGTAGTCAGGCGAGGAAGAAGATACGGTGTTGGGATGTCAGCATAGCGCTCAACCGTCTGGTGCCTGGATATGAACACATGAACCCATAACACTACATGCACTCCCCGTTCCTCCCAGACAGTCAGACAGCAGTCTTCTTGCTGAGTTCCGCCGCATCTCTGTTCCGCCGCATGTCGCATGTCACGTCTCACGTCGCGGTGTGTATCATTTTTCCAAATAAAAGACAGCAGAGCCTGCCAGCGAGACAGCGCCACCCTCGTACATTAACACCAACAACACCGATCCAGTTGGCGCCACACCACACCATGTCAGCCTCGAAACGTGAAGAAGAGGACCGCTCACGCGTTGACGGCTTCAAGATCGAGATTTTCAAACTCGTCCAGAGGGAGGCAACTTCGGAGCAGTGGAAGGAGTGGCTTCGAGCACCTCTGGAGCATGCTGCGGCCAAGGAACTTGGATCTCTTCACACGGCTGATGGACACTGGTGCCAACGTGGAAGCAGGCCGGCGGGGTTGCCATGGCCGAACACTGCTGCTGAGTGGGGCAGCATTTGGTAGGAGTGAGAAGATGGTACGCACCCTGCTCACCGCGGGGGCGACGGATGACGCCAACGTCCTGTTCGGGGTTGAACACGAGTCCGCTCTCCATGTTGTACTAGCTCGGGGTGCTGAAGACTCATGTAGGGCGCTCATGATCGCTGGAGCAGACCCGACTCTGCGTGATCGGGGGGATGATACAAGATGGTTCAAGGAAATGGATACAAGAATATTCAACATGACAAGTTCACCCCGATTTTAGGAGTTGACTTTGCGGAACTATGCTGCACCATGCTATCAAAATCTGAGGGCTATCCAAGGCAAACAATCACGAGACTCTGTTTTGTATCCCATGTACAATCCGTCCATGGAAATCTGACGACGCCAAATCGCGGCAGTCTTATCACCATTTTGGGCATAGCTTGCTTCCACAATGACCGTTTTCGTTTTTTTTTCTTTAGATCCCCTAGACCATGGGGATCGTTTTGGCGCAAAACTGCGGTAGAAAGAGGTGGGGAGTGCGGGGTTGCATGCATTATTATGTATGTATATATCGGAGTGAAGGCTTCTGATTGGCTGAGACACATTTATGCCCATAGCGTTGTGGCCACGGCTCTGATTGAAATTCCGGCCACGGCGATTTGTTCCGTTGCTTATGGGGGCTACTTCGATACAACATAGACATTTTGTGTACGTATTTCGCCTGGCAGGTGTGATTGAACGAATTTGGGTAGCTGCCGTAGCTGGGCATCACCGAGTTATAGGAAGCCTTCTTCTGAACAGGGCCGATGTACACGCGAAGACGGCCTCCCAGTCGACTCCTCTCCACCTGGCTGCTTCGGAGGGCCGTGCGCTGTGCCTTTCCGAGCTTCTGCTGGGCGGTGCAGACAAGGATTTGGTCGACCGTCACGGTGAAACACCACTTGTTTAAGGCGGCAGCGAACAATCACCTCGAGGCTGTCCAAGAGCTCCTAGCTGCTGGTGCCAACTGTGGCCTGCGTTGCATGCTTACCAACGGCAGCCATTCTTCGCTCGACATGGCTGCAGGCAGAGGTCACGCGGACGTCTTAACGGCCTTGCTCGACAAAGACAGTACTAGTGAAGTCGACACCACCAATGATCATGGATGGGCAGATCTACACTATATATTTTTTTGTCTCCCATGATTGAACTCTGTCGTCTTCCCCTCTGGCCCCTATCCTCCATTTTTACCAGCTAGACGACCCAACCGGGGTCACATAGGAAGGGGGGGTTGGACCCCCTCCTGCGGTTCCTGCCTGAGATATTTTTTTCGCGATGTCTGTTGATGGACCTGTCCACGACAATGGTGATGCTGTGCGTGCACTGTTGGGAGTTGGGGCTGATGTCAACGCGAAGACCACCGACAGCATCTGCGCTTCGCCGCTCCATCTTGCCGTTGATCGTCGGATAGCATCGGACGGCATGATTCGCGCTCTGTTAAAGGGAGGGGCCAATATCAATGCGCGCACTGGAGACGACAATAAGCCACTGCACCTTGCTTGCAGGCATTCGAGTGTTCATGGCGTTGAGCTTTTACTACGTTGGGGAGCAGATGAGAAGCTCACGAACAGTGTTGGAAAGACGCCCGCAGACGTGATAAGAGCGCTGCAGCAGGGTGACCTGGACGACAAAGAACGCGAGGCCGACGACCAGCGCATTGGCCGAATGGTGGCACTCGTTCCAGCCGACAGGTCATGGCGTCGCCGCGGCTGGCTAGTGCTGAGCCGTTCATGCCCGACCAGGGTGCAGATCGCGAACGGCAGCAGCAGCAGCAGCAGCAGCAGCAGCAGCAGCAGCAGCAGCAGCAGAATCAACGGTAACGCCGCGAAGGTGGCAAGGGTCAGCGGCGAGAGTTCAAGTCGGGATGATGAGCGGACGGAAGGCGACATGATCGTGGACTTGAGGAATTTGGTGGGCAGGCTGGTCGGACTGGAGGCAGATGGCTTGCTTCGCTTGGTGGTGGGCTTTCTGTGACGTACGAGAGAGAGGAAGCGTTTTGGCGTACCGCTGACGGCGGTTGCTTTGCTATCGAAACAAACAGAGACGACCTGCAAATTCTCTTGTTTCTTCCCATTTACAAGCGCGGAAGTTTGTTTAGTTGTTCCTCGATTGCTGCGCAACACCAATGCCGTTGTACTGATATACAGGGGTTTGGTGGAAGGACCCCCATGTCTTTTTGCTTCGGATGTGATTCATACGTGTGCCACGCTTCGCGCAGCGAATGGGGAACAATATACGAATGACACATATATTGAACACAATTGTTATGGGAGTGCGAGACAAACGAGGTTTTGAGCGGTGCCGGCCGAACAAGGAGTAGCTCTTCCTGCTGATACCGCGTTCCATTTGTTGGTTGCCCGCGATATCGTTCATCGCCGTTCGGGAGGGGGAGCCAGCCCTTATTCGTTTTTTCCCCTCCTGAAAATTGCCGTTTACCGGCTTCCGAGCCTCTTCACCAATCCGAGCCCTATTTTGATTTTTGATTTTCTGGAAACAGATTTTTCCGATTTCGATAAGACAGGCCCTTACTAATACTCGGTGGATCACTGGAGAGACTCTATTCTTCAGAGATAGATTCGTTGGGGTCATCCCGACCAAAAAAAACCCGACAAGCCTCGCACAAAATGCCTTCATCATCAGCTCAGGAGTAACCACATGTTTCGACTACTGACTGATGTTGGCAACTTGCTACAATAGTTTGCAGGGTAGTCAGGCGAGCAAGACGAGAAGGTGTTGGGGCGTTAACTATAGGGACGTTCACAGAGCGCCCCCAACCACAGTCGGACAGTCGGACAGTCAGTCAGGCAGTCAGACAGTCTTCTTGCTGCGGAGTTCCGCCGCATCTGGTTTTTGTCTCGCGGCATGGCATCGACTTCTGTGCCACTCCTGTTTGCCAACACAACAGAGCCTGCCAGCGAGACAGCGCCAACCACGCACACTAACACCACCAACACCGATCCAGTTGGCGCCACGCAACACCATGTCAGCCTCGAAACGTCAAGAAGAGGGCCGCTCATGTCTTGACTGCTTCGAGATCGAGATTTTCAAACTCGTCCAGAAGGAGGCAACGTCGGAGCAGTGGAAGGAGTGGCTTCGAGCACCTCTGGAGCATGCCGCGGCCGAGGGGAACTTGGATTTCTTCACACGGCTGATGGACGCTGGTGCCAACGTGGAAGCAGGCCGGCGGGGTTGCCATGGCCGAACACTGCTGGGTGCGACAGCATGCGATAGAAGTGAGAAGATGGTACGCACTCTGCTCACCACGGGGGCGACGGATGATGTAGCCGTCCTGTTCGGGGTTGAACACGAGTCCCCCCTCCATGTTTCAGCAGCTCGGGGTGCTGAAGACTCATGTAGGGTGATCGGAGAAAACGTAGTCCGCTACACCTCGCTGCCGTAGCTGGGCATCACCGAGTTATTGGTAGCCTTCTTCTGAACAGGGCCGATGTACACGCGAAGACGACTTCCCAGCAGACTCCTCTCCACCTGGCTGCTTCCGAGGGCCATGCGCTGTGCATCTTCGAGCTTCTGCTGGGCGGTGCAGACAAGGATGTGGTCGACCGTCACGGCAAAACGCCACTGTTCAAGGCGGCAGCGAACAACCACCTCGAGGCAGTTCAAGAGCTTCCAGCTGCTGGTGCCAATTACAGCCTGCGTACCAACGGCAGCCGTTCTCCGCTCGAGATTGCTACAAACAGAGGTCACGCGGACGTCGTTAAGGCATTGCTTGACAAAGACAGTGGTGAAGTCGACGCCGCCTACGATCTCGGATGAGCAGCCCTACACTATGCTGCATCGATTGATGGACCTGTCCACGACAATGGTGATGCTGTCCGTGTACTGTTGAGAGCTGGGGCTAATATCAACGCCAAGGGCACCAAAGACCCCTGCGATACGTCGCTCTATCTTGCCGTTAATCGTCGGATGGCATCCGACGGCACGATTCGGGCCCTGTTGGAGGGCAGGGCCAATATCAATGCGCGCACTGGAGGCGACCAGACACCACTGCACGTAGCTTGCAGTCGTTCGAGTGCTGTTGGCGTTGAGCTTTTACTACGTTGGGGGGCAGATGAGAAGCTCACGACCAACGTTGGATAGACGCCCGCACACGTGGTAGGAGCGCTGCAACAGGATGACCTTGACGACGAAGAACTCGAGGCCGACAACCAGCGCATTCGACGAATGTTGGCGCGCGATCCAGCCGCCAGGTCATAGCGTCGCCGCGGCTGGCTAGTGCTAAGCCGTTCATGCCGNCGTTCGAGTGCTGTTGGCGTTGAGCTTTTACTACGTTGGGGGGCAGATGAGAAGCTCACGACCAACGTTGGATAGACGCCCGCACACGTGGTAGGAGCGCTGCAACAGGATGACCTTGACGACGAAGAACTCGAGGCCGACAACCAGCGCATTCGACGAATGTTGGCGCGCGATCCAGCCGCCAGGTCATAGCGTCGCCGCGGCTGGCTAGTGCTAAGCCGTTCATGCCGGACCAGGGTGCAGATCGCGAACGGCAGCAGCAGCAGCAGCAGCAGCAGCAGCAGCAGCAGCAGCAGCATCATCAACGGCAACTCCGCGAAGGTGGCGAAGGTCAGCGGCGAGGGTTCAAGCCGGGATGATGAGGAGCCGGCACACGAGATGATGATGGGCTTGGGGGATCTGGTGGGCAGGCTGGCGGGCTGGGGGCAGATGGCTTGTTTCGCTTGGTGGTGGGCTTTCTATGAGGTTCGAGAGAGAGAAAAGAGTATTTGACGGTGGTTTCTTTGCTATTAAAACAATCAAACGCGACCTATGAATTGCCTCCATTATTCCCATTTGCAAGCGCGGAAGTTTGTTAAGTTGTTTTTCCTCGATTGCTTCCGCACCACCAATAATTCCGTTGTACTGGTGTACATGGGGTTGGTGGAAGTAGCCCGATGTCGTTTCGCTTTAGATTCGATTAATACGTTTCGCGCAGCGGATGGTTACCATTATACGAATGGCACATTTATTGGACACAATTGTTATGGGAGTGCGAAACAAACGAGCTTTTGAGCAGTGCCGGCCGAACAAGGAGTAGCTCGTACTGCTGTTACGTGTTACGCTGATCATTTGCCGGTTGCCCGCGATCATTCTTCACCTTTCGGGAGAGGGAGTCAACTCTTATTCGTTTTTTACCCTCCAGCTCCTTCCTGTTATGTATACATATTCTGTGATGTGCTCTTGGCGGTTGTCCAACAGGCTGCAACGAAGCTGTTGGGGTCGTGCGGTAGCTGGCCATGCCGTTCCGAAGTCTAGCGGATGCATCAAGTCGAATTCCCGCACACACCTGTTATCCTGTGCTCACCACTGGCATAACAGGCCATCCATGGCTTTTCTGTGCAGCGATACTTCCGCAATGCAACACTCAGTTGGATGCCATTCCCAGCCTGAGCTAGGATCAAGGGCAGTAGATCCCCCCGTTGGTCTTGCACTCCGAACGACGGAACGACCCGACGTAATGATTTTGATAGTTGTGCCCTGACTACTCGCCGTCTTGTTGCTGTATTCTTCCGTGACTACGTACAGCTTGTTAGGTTTCAAGCACAGCAAGAGGTCGGAGCGGTGTCCTTTCGTTCGAGCCTATCGTAGCTGTCTGATTCTTCGTGCCAGATGATGGCCTCTGCAACATTTAGGAGGTCAAGATGGTGTCTGGCGAATTGGCACAGATTCAGGTGTGCCAGGACTAAACCCTGGGGCGAGCTGAGCTTTGGTTGTCGCTTGAGAACGAACTTGTTTGCGACAACATTGTGTCCTTGTTTTGGCCGGAATCGTTTTGGCACAAATACGTCTCCACTCTCCTCGAACATGCTGCTGCTGGATGTCTCGGTGTGTGCCTTGTCCGCTGTGTTAGAGAATATTCCGGCTTGTTTTGTCTCCTCAATCCCGTTGCGCCTATCTGGTTGTAGGGCGATCTATGTGGTGGTTTCTCTATTAAGCAAGAACTGTGACGAGTCCATCTCTCACGCCTTCGTACTTTGTTGCGGCTGGCAGGTTGTGAACCCGGTGATAGCAAATATACGCTGGGTTCATTTTGTAAGGACGGAGGGACCACGGCTGGCTACCGTTTTTATTGCCGTTTCGTCGTTCGATGTCTGCCCAGCATGTTGTTTGCCTTTGTTCTAGGTTGTTTGGGGGCGTACGTCAACGCAAAGGCGGGCATGCATTTCGGGTTGTGGTTGTTTGCCGAGGGGAGGGCCGCTTGTTGTTCCTGCTATGTATTGTAGTGATCTGGAGTATCGCAAGGGAAGCGTATAGTACACATGCTGGGTGTGGGGGGAGTATGTCGAGCGCACGAAGGTAGTTCGCGATGCTGCTGTGAAAGCTCAACGCCAGGGATGTAGTCTAGTAGCGTTGTGTCAAGATGTTTGCGGCTGAAGGGGAGAGGGTGGTGCGTCGTGATTCAAGCGCGCCATTAGATACTGGTAGCATTTAAATTGATGTTCCGGTGCGCCGGTACCTTGCTACGTGCTCTAGTTGATTCAAAGAGATCCGGCGAGGTTTAGGCTACTGCCCCATGGTTTTTCGCATCTACTTGCATCTATTGTTAATATCTAGTGCGGCAGCTTCACGGACACGAAGCCGCTCATTGCGAGAAGACAATATGAATCCAATGTATGTACATAGCTCCCACCAAAGGATGCGCCACAAATCACATTCCCTCCGTCAATCGCGCACGGGGCTCTTAGACTGCGCAGGGGTGGGGAAGACGTTGCCCCCTGTTCCCATGCTGCAATGTCTTTCGGGCTTGTTGCGATGTGGTCAAATCGATTTACTTGCAAGGACGGGCCCATGTCATACAAAGGATGTGGCTGTGATGTGAGACGACACAACAAGTTGTGCAGTAGGGATTTGGTGTAAAACATGTTGTTGCCCTGTTCTGTCGCTACGCTGTTTATCAAGGGCAGCCACACGGTGGTGAACCAAGCGCAGTCCCCTACAGAACGCGTCACACGCGGGTGTGGCAGGTGGTGAAAAAAAATAAAGGGTCAAGAGGAGCGAATGAATCTGACGAACGTCGGCTGGCTGTGGTCGATAACTCTCAAATGCGGGTTAGTATTCAGACGATATTACAATTAGGCTGCCCGGTTGGAGAAATAGTTCAAAGTGATAAGAGTCCTCAGCAGAAGCCAGCGGTGGTAGTTCGGAATGGGTGCACACCCCCGTGCCTGTTCCCATCAGCTGACTGCTGCATGTACTACAGCAGAGCAGAGCAATACGGACGCGTATGTATGCATGCATACAACAGTACTTCCCTTATCCTTGTGAGCTTGTCGCATGGGGGCATGTAACCTGCCCACATCACTCCCAAAATATGTTTGGACTACTGTATGTAGTGAGTGTGGGGGCCAAGCTTTGCGGGCGCTGCCACTTTTCATGTGTGCCCGTAGAAAGCACACAGCCACACACACAGTGGTGGAGACTCTCCTGTATGGGTGCGCCTCGTGGAGCCTAACAGCGGAGCACTACACGAAGCTCAATGGGACCCACCGCCAGTTAGTTCCTTACACGGTGCATCGGCTGGAGCAAGCGGAAACGCTCAGACCGCCCCCTGTCCTATGCCCAGGCCCTCATCCAGGCAGGCTGCGAGGAAACCATCGAGGCCACCGTGCGCAAACGGAGAATGTGTTTCGCGGGGTTCGTTATGCGCATGAAGGACAGCCGCCTCCCCAAGCGCATGCTGTTAGGAGCGATGGCGGGGGGCGTGGGATACCGGGGCGGGCAGGAGAGCGACTGGGTGTCTCGTCTAGGAGAGGACCTCGTGGCCTTCAACATGGGAGACGAAAAGGAAGGGGGGAAATGGAAAGAGAGCGCCAAGGACTCGGAGGTGTGGTACAACAAGGTCGAGGACGGGGCGGCATGGTTCATGAGGAAATGGCACATGCAGGAGAAGGAAGCGTCCGCAAAGCGCCAGCGCGCGAGGGAAGCAGAAGCAGAGAGTACGGCTATCTCAGGACCGGAGAGAACGAGAGCCGGGGAAGCGGCGGTGGGGGGGAAGAAACGGCGACAGGGCACTACTGTAGAAGCGAGTAGGGCGGCCGAGGCAGCACTTGTGGCGAACTATGTACCCGGCTGATGTTGTTGCGCCCTGTTTCCCTCCCTGCTGTATGCTATACTCCTTTATGTATTTCATGGGTTCCACGTGTGTCAGGAATTTTGACACGAGCACGAAATTTTGACACGAGACGTCAGAATTTTCACACGAGAGGTTATGCCGCACTTTTTCATGTCAGAATCACAGGTCAAAATTTGTCGAAAGCGTACATGGGTCCCACGTGTGTCAGGAATTTTGACACGAGCACGAAATTTTGACACGAGACCAGAATTTTGACACGAGACCTCAGAATTTTGACACGAGAGGTTACGCCGCACTTTTTCATGTCAGAATTACAGGTCAAAATTTTTCGAAAACGTGGTCAAAATATTTTCACCTGAGGTATTTTGGACTGAGATAGAGACAAATTGACACGAGCGCCATCGCACACACACGAAGGCATCAACTCAGTCGGCAAGCTCGCACGCAGCTGCCCGCACACCCACACACGTGAACACAACGCTCCCGGGAGTACATCGCGTTAGGGGAACGTCAAGCCGCGGTTAGGATCGTGTGCGTTCATCGCGGGATGGAGAACAAAACACGCCGAGGTTGGTCTGTCTGGACTCTGGACTCCAAGCACACCGGAGATAACCACAACAGCAGCTAGTCGGGTGCCCCGCCCGTGATGGGAGAGGTTACAGCAGTTGTTGGTGGAAGAGACGGTAGCTCTGGGCGCACGTACTAGGGGCGCGAAGCCGCTGGCGGCGGTTGGGATTCGGGGAGTGTAGTTCGCGTAGTGTATA